GCCAAGCCAATTGCATGCTCTCACCCTATTATTTTTTTAAATCACATAAAATTAATTGACGTATTATCCCACTAAATTAATTATATGAGCAACAAAGTACAAATACATGTCTCTTGTTTTCTGTTATACACGGTACGAAATATGAACACATCCAAGTATAGTGTACAAAATATATCATAGATAAGCAGCAGCAAGAAGAAGAATAAAAAAAAATGTTTCGTCCCGTCCCAAACATTGTACCAAACAACAGATGGAATAGGGGTAAGTTAGTCATTTTAATGTTTTGGTTCCGTTCCGTCCTGTGCTTACCAAACGCAAAACGGAACAACTCTCTCGTTCTGTCCTGTGCATACCAAACATCACATGGAACCATTATTCAGTCACATCATGTCTCGTCCCATCATGTCTTGTCTGCTTACCAAACGGCCCCTTAATTTACGTGACTTTATGAAGCAACTACATGGGAAATATGTATACTGATATCAAAATGGGATCTGCTTGCACAATATGGTCACGTCATGGGTACATAATCATCTTGCTGTGATTTTGTTATCAGTCAAACTTTATGCTGTAATTTAAAAATATTGAATCGCATGAGTGTTCACACGCAAAAGTATTCATCCTTTGTTAAATTAAATGGAGGGAGAGATGAGCGGGAATGGGGCGTTTGAGACTCTGAGTTTGAAGGGGAGATTGAAAATTTAAGGCTTTTCATTTTTTTAAATTTTACATATATTAAATTAAATGGGTAAATGGATATCCATTATAACTGCGAATAATGTCCATAACTAATAGATACCCGTTATAATCGCGAATAATACTCATAACCGCCCATTTAAATTTCACGGTTAAACGGTTATACTCATAACCGTTTGTTTGTCTAAATGGTTATCCATAACCGTAACCGTGAACTTTAAATGGGCGGGTAACTGTGGTTATACAAACCCATGGATATTTTGCCCATCCTTATATGTGACGTGTTGTATAGAGAAGGTTTTGGACACATGGAGAGGAGTGGCTCTTACGTGGCTGGTTGCCATTGGATGATATGGGAGAGGATCCTCTCCGAACCCAAACCCACCGGATCCTTCGAATCTTTCTTCTTTGAAGGCCAAGTCGGCGTCGTCGACGTTCTCGGAATCGGCGTCGTGCTTCTCCGGAGTTGGCTTCATGATCAAGCTTCTTCTCAAGCTCCCCATGTTTGTATCTTTCTATACGGACTGGTGGTGAATATTGACAGTAACTTTGATGGTGGTACATTTTCCTTTCTTTTTTTTTTTTTTGCAGCATTTAAAGAACAAATGATGATGATGATGTGTGCAGATATCAGAGAGAGAGAGAGAGAGAGACTTGAGTTCTTCATGGTCTTTAACTCGTTGTAAACCATCTGGAAAAGGATCAAAGAAGAAGGATCCAAGGGGCTTGGGTCCGAAGAGGATCCTCTCCCGAATGGTATAGTCCTAATATTTTGTTTTTTTGTTTTTATTGGCTAATGTCCTAATACTTTGTTAAATGGTAATAATAAAATCTCCTATGATCAGTTACCCCTATTGCACAAAAAAGAGTAAAGGGAAGTTGAAAATTTAGATTGAGTGCCAGTTTAAAAGTGTTTTTAAAATGATTGAAAGTTTTTTTTAATGAAAATGTTTTTTTGGATACAATTCTTAGAATAAATAAATAAATTCTGAAAAAGTATTTGAAGTGCTTATTGGAAGAAACTAGTTATGTGCTTCTTAAAAACACTTAAAGTGCTTTTGGAACCCAAAAATATTTATTTAAAAACACTTTCAAACTTTTTAAAAGCACTTCTAAATGAGCCCCAAGCACACAATGGAAGTTGTGGGACCATGATTTTCCAAGTTCAAAATAAGGTTGACCTCAATACTGCTACCTCAAAAGTTCAATCATCAACTTACCAACTCTAGGCAGAGCTGTATCAAACGAAACAGGGTGCTACCATCACTCTACCCTGGGACAATGGGCGGAGTTCTAGCGACTCCATTGGATGACCTTGCTTGTTCCACAAGATATGCAATCTGATATGGATATAGACACAATCTAGGGACAAATATGAGTCGCAAGTAATCACACTCCTAAGAGAATCCAATATCTACTTACTAAATATCCTCTAACGAGGATTCTATCCTAAAAAATTCTCTCCCACGGTATAAACACACCCATCTAGGGCTTATTTACAGTAACGCAATCTATACACTTGAATTATTTGGCCCACTGCTTGAGTCTAAAGATCATTCACTAACTTGACCGTCAGAAAGCCTTTGACCAGCACACCTTAAGCTTAAGATTTGCTTACAGTTGTCTTATTGTTTTGCAGTTTGCTAAAGTTACACGGATTTGTATTCAACCACCCACTCGTGGAGGTGCGGATATTTAGTTCCAACAAAAGTGATATGCTTTATGTTTGTATCAAAGTCTAATATAATAACAATAACAAAGTCGTATTCTATTAAGCGGGGTCGGTAGTATAAATCCTAGAACACCACTGCATCTAGTTTTGTGTCATGTTTTCATTAAATCCAAGTACTCCAAGTCTTTCTTAGTGTCTCTTTCCAAGTCTTCCTAGATCTTTCGCTACCCATTTGGACCTGATCCTCTATCTCATAATCACATCTTCTAACTAGAGCATCGATAAGAATATAGGAAATTCAGAGAGAATAGGATAGGAAATGAATGAGAGGAGCATACTTATACTGGTAGTGGAGGTGATGGGGACCACACAGTTTTGTGTCGATGGTAGTGTCAGTTGAATTATTTCTTTGACGAAAAAAAGTAGTATGGTTACTAACCTAAATAGGAGTAAAAAACTAAAGTTATGCGGTGATCTACGGTGAAATTATATAATGATTAAATATTTGAAATATCTCATATTGTCTTGTACCGTTAAAATTCTAAACAATTGATCACCCTGGTCAATGCTTACTCTTAGGTTTAGTGGCTCATTCTGTCACATCCCAGTCTCGACTCTGCCGTAGCAGGATATTGTTTGTTTTGGGCCCTGGCCACGCCCTTATGGTTTTGTTGCTGTGAACTCACACGAGAACTTCCCAATGAGTCACCCATCCTGGGATCGCTCTCTTCCGAACTCGCTTAACTTTAGAGTTCTGATAGAATCTGAAGCCAGTGAGTTCCCAAAAAGCCTCGTGCTATATGGAGGTGGGCATGTATATATGAGGCACATCACCCCCTCTCCGTTGGTTGATGTGGGATGTTACAATCCACCCCCTTAGGGGCCCGACATCCTAGTCGGCACACTTTCGCACCACACGGTAGAGTGGCTCTGATACCATTATGTCACATCCCAGTCTCAACTCCGTCGTAGCATGATACTGTCCACTTTGGGCCTCAACTACACCCTCACGATTTTGTTTCTGGGAACTCACACAAGAACTTCCCAGTGGGTCACCCATCCTAGGATTGCTCTCGTCCAAACTCGCTTAACTTCGGAGTTCCGATAGAATCCAAAGCCAATGAGTTCCCAAAAGGCATCGTGCTATATGGAGGTGGGCATGTACATATAAAGCACATTACCCTTTCTCCGTTGGTCGATGTGGGATGTTACACATTCCGATTGGGCAGTTTACTTTGACTGAAGCCGATTGATTGGCTGTTTTAATAGCTCTATGTGAAAGCCACGCGATGACTATGTTAAGGGCCGCAAGGAACCAATATTATAAGACATTTGATGCTTTTTCTTTTGGTTCCCATCACCAAGAAGAGAAAAAGAAAGGCAAGCTATGACTTTCGGTTCCTAAAAAACAATGGCAGGCAAAAAACAGAATTATAAGGCATTGGATGCTTTTCTTTTGGTTCCCATTAGCAAAGAGAAAAATAAAGGTTTTGGGCAATTACACATTCAAGATATTGGTGCTACAATTTTTGGCTTTTGGGAGAGACAAAATTATGTATTTTTATCTTCTCTATTTATATTTTGTTTGAATGAGAACTATTGGGTGTATCTGGGATTTGGGGTTTGAGAGTTAAAACTCTATTTGTGATCTCCATTGGTTATTAGTAAAATTTCCTTGCCGTCTTTGCACGGAATATAGACTTATGTCAAATTAGTATAAATCTTTTGTCACTTTGAATTGTTTATTTTGTCCAATTTTTCTGTATTAATTTATTAGTTTCACATTTGACGCTTTTAAACAACACTAACTACTAAAAGAATGAGCTAAACCATTTAATCAAATTAAACTACAAGTTTACCGCACAAAACTGCTCATATTGGTTTCATTTGATTGATTTGAATGTTTCATCACATAGTATAAAGATAAACTTCAATTAAAGGGAAGAACAAGTACTAATTAAGTGAGAACATCAACAACTAAATATTGGCATCCAATATCAAGCTAAAGCTAAGTTGGAAGGAGTAGGATTCTTTCCCTTTTTCTCTCCTCCCCTTCCTTCCCCTCCTATTTTAACAGTCACGGTTAAGCCACGTCAACATCTATATTAATTTGTTATAGAAAGAGAATGACAAAATAGAAAATGTGAGAGGAGGGGATGGAAGGGGATAGAAAGAGAAGGAAGCAAGAATCATAGTCCAACAAAAGAAAACCCCAAAAACCAGTGTGAATAGCCAACATTCTACATGCTCCTACTCTTGCTCCTAAGTTGGACCAAAAATAATTATTCTTTCTATGGGGCCTCCATTCATTCAATTGTTCCTTCCTTTTCTTCTTATCTTTTTTGGAACGTCAAGTATCTGGATGCTTTCCGACTACTTGCTTGGTAAGACTCTAGAGATTTATGACTTGTGGGATTCAACCAAATGACGGTGTTTACATTCTGCCATACTGTTTGAAATTTTCTAAAGAAGATTTGAAATTTTTGTTTATATATTCTCCTCCACCATCCGTTTGAAAAGTTTGAGTTTTCCGTTGAAATTTATTCTCCCTTCAGTTTTAAATTTGATAAATGTTGAGAACACATCATATTTGAGATTTAAAGGATATAATCATGTATAGTGCGAATAATCATAAATAAAAATCACATAATATCGAAAACCAGAAATTGACAGAGTTGGTGACGTCCATACATCAAAATGAATAAGTTGTAAAGGAAAATGAGAAATGGAATTTGATGGTAAAAATGGCAATTTCTTACTTTTGCCCAAAGGGTATGAATGACATATAGAATTGAAATGGTGCCTAGTAAGAGGCACTTTACTACTGGAAACTAAATGCTTTAAAATAAATGATGATGGATGACCAAGTCTGGAGTGCCAAATGCGATCATCGACCCTAACTCCCATGCATTAAAACAGTTCATGTCTTTTATTTGAATTAAAACTTGCATAATGATAAACACCAGTGTTACTCCGGCCTGATAAAAGGGTCTTTCCCAAGCGGATATCCTGAACACGAAAAAAATTAGGATGAAGGACAAAGAAACAGTCATTGTCAGAAGAAAACTAATTGATGGATAAAATATTTTGGGAAGAATCAGGATAATATAAAGTATTAGAAAGAGTATAGGATCCATTGGGAGAATGAATGTAGGATGTTCCTATGTGAAAGATGTGCAAACCTTGACCACTATTAACTTGATATGTGCATGTGTACTCATGTGCATTGGTAAGTTGGCCAGGATCATTAGTAATGTGAGTGTTGGCTCTAGAGTCCAGAAGCCAGGTTGTTGGAGCATTAGACGCAGGAGATACACGGCTAGACTACGTAGCAAAGGTCATGAGCCAAGCACTAGGAACACGACCTTCATAAGAAGTATTCATTCGATTGTAACAATCAATGGCAGAATGCCCATTGCAATGGCAAATTTAACAGTGGAGAGGAGGTCGATCAGTAGAAGAATGCCCAGCACCGAGAAGACCATCATTAGAACGACCTTGAGCAGAACCAGCAGCAACATGAGGGGGTGGCTGATGACCACTGTGAGGAGCACCTCGTCCTCCTCCATGGGAAAAACCAGCAGAGGTAAGGACCCTGCGTCCACGATTAGCAACCATGGCAGTCATGGCAGGAACGGAAGTGTTGCCAGACAAAGTGAAGGTGAGATGGCGTGTTTCAGCGCTGAGTATGAGAGCTTCCAAAGTAGCATAAGAAATAGGAGTCTCTAGGGCTTGTATGGAGGCCACAGTGTTCTCATACCAAGGACGAACATTATTCAGGATTATAGCAATAAGGTCAGAATCAACCATGGGAAAGCCAGATAAAGCCAACTAATTAGCCAAGGTATTTATTTTGTTCAAATAATCAGCAATATGGAGATCGCCGCGACAGAGATTAAGAAGTTCCCTACGAAGTTGAATAATACAATTGCGAGAAGAGAGTGCATACCTGTCCTGTAAAGCTTTCTAGGCCTCAGCAGCACTAATGCATTTGACGACAACATGCATAACAGACGGGGAAAGAAAACTAGTGAGCCATGAAAGAACCATCTGATCTTCCTGGATCCATGGTTCGTAGAGCAAGTTGATGTTGTCAGTAAGCTAAATTTCATCATCCAGAAGGAATGTAGGAGGACAGTGAGAGATTCCATCTACGAAGGGCATCAGACTCCAGCTTCGAAGTAATGGAACAAACTAGGCACGCCACAACGGATAATTGTTACAATTAAGTTTCATAGGAAGAAAGGCAGAAACATTGAGAAGGGCAACGGAAGAAGCCATTGTTATTTGAGAGAGGTATGTCGTGAGACTAGAAGAAGGATGATACCATATAGGAATTGTGCTCGATACCGAGCTTGTATTACTTCAACATGTATATAGAGCTTTACAAGATTGAGTTTGAGTGAAGAACAAACTCTTCAAAACAAACTAAAAGATAATTATAGAAAATACAGAAGCACAATATTATCATACAATCTGTTTTGAATACAAAATATTCAAACAGTTGGAGATTTGGATGAACCGATTCCATCATTATCACTTGTGGTTGTTGTGGCGGGAACTGAGGTTTTCAAAGTTGATTTATCAAGCATATCCAAATTTTCAAAAAAAATTCAAAAATCAAACAAAAATTACAAAATTCAATTGGAAAAATTGCAAGGAAATTGAACTGGGAATTGGGCAAAGAAACATACCATAGTTCACCAGTAGCTTAGGAGTACAACATGCAAGTCTAAGCGTCTCAATTTTCAGAGAAATTGACTGCAATGCGGGAGCTTTTAGGGGAATTCGAAGCGAGAAAGTGAGGGAATTAGGGTTTCGAATGGACCAACTTTCTGTCGGGCAATACGGAATCATTTTTTTTTTTTTTTTCAACAAATTGTCAGGAAATCTGGCAATCTGTCAATCAGAACAACTGAAAAGATGTAGGGAAAATCTAAAAAAAAAGGTGAAAACATAAGAAAAACTGACTTGAAGTACTTTCTATATTTAAATTCGGTAGAGGAAATAAGAGATACCATATTTTGTGAATATATATATATAAGGAAAAAGTGTGTAAGGCCATCTCCAACTAAGAAATCTAAAATTTTTAGTCTAAAAATTTTAAGTTTTAATTTAGAAACAGTTTTTCTACTCCAACCTCTTTTGAGTTAAATATTTAGTCTCAAATTATTAAAAAAACGAATTTAGAGTAATTTTTTTAAAGTAACTTTAAAAAAGAATTATTTAGACTATCCTAATTTAATTTTGTGAACATTTTAACCAAAAAATATTTAGATTCCGATAAATATTGAAAAATCACTAAATCGACACCATGAAACTCATAAAACACTGTGAAAGAAAATAAAAGACATGATAGAGGGTGGGACCTGCCTCTTTAATGCCTCCAGGTGTTTAGGCGTGAGGCGCGTTTCCCGTGGGATGCTAGGCAAAAGTTAGGCTCGTCCACGCGCAATTGGGGGTCCCTCCACTAACCATGCCTACTTTTCTAGCTAGTATTTAGCCCAATTTTAGCTTCTAACTAGTAACCCCAAATTGACGCAAGGGTTGGAAGGAAATTAGGGACAATAGAAGACAAATTTTAAGACTTAATCCGAGCGTTGGAGTTGGTCTAAGAACATCTCGAAGTTAAGCTATAAATATAAAATTTAAATTTGTTAGCATATATCAGACTTTAATTTTTGAAATTTTGTTACCTAGTTAAATTAAATTACTGTTTATTAAATTATTTATTTCTATAATTGTAAAGTAAACATAATAATAATGATTAACCAATTAAAACTAGATTTGAAATTGCTGTCAAATTTAATTTGACAATCGTGCTATTCCGACGTAAAACATTTCACTTATAGATAAAATAAATATTACTGGACTGTGTAATTAAATGAATAAACAAAAAAAGGTGGACAGGATTGTGCTATTCACACACGTATTTTACTTTTACCACAAGTATTTTTTTTTATTTTTGTTTTTTTACTTCTAACACACGTCTCTCAATTTTTTACATTTGTATCGAATGAATTGAAGAAGAGTAATAAACAAAAATTAGTAAAATGTGTGAGAGACCAAAATAATGTGGGAATAGTGTAACCCTATGTACCATTTTTTCGTTGAGAATTGAACTCACATCCTCCGCAAGAAGCAATGAACGGATACTTAGTTATATAAAAAACAATAAAATTTGATCTTAATAATTTAATAGACAAATGGTTTCAGATTGAATTGAATATTTGCAAGGATGATCTATGAATCGAAGCTAACAAAAATGATGTTCATATTGTTATAATTCAATGTGGAGTAGGTTTCACACCTAATCCCTATTTTTTTTCAAAAAAATGAGGATCCTTTTTTATAAAAGGCCTAGGAGCGCATATATATATATATATATATATATATGTATATATATATATATATGTATATATATATATATAACTATAATGAAAACTTTGTGGGTTGTAAGAGCCTTTCGCAGCCTTAGTTTGTTCGTAGACTTAATTTGTCTCAAACATAAGTTGTTGTCATATATACAGTGGCGAAGCCAGAATTTTTAAATAATGAGGTCATAATATTAATTAAAAAAAGCTTCATTGAGCTATTTTATCGAGCACCTAGTAGACACTTGCCAATTTCTGTCAACGTATGCCGAAAGTTTATACCAACATATGTCGACAACTACTATTTGGTAGCTTGTAGAGGATGGGTCAGTAATATTGAAGGCTATCAAGGCTTTTTAACTAAGGTATTTCATCGAGCACATGGTGCACACAATAGATCGCACAAGAAAAGAGAAAATGAAGACAAATGTGATAGAACAAGTAGAAGAAGGAGGTTATAATTTAGTTTGCCTTAAATGTTTATAAGGGTCATATACAATACACAAACAAATTTACTTGAGGTTTTTTAAGTTATTGGGGTCAAGGGTAACCAATGACCTCATGCTAACTTACCACTGCGTATATATAGCCGTGTTAAGTGGAATGATATGTCTGCTTAATATTATGGTTTAATGATATTTTTCTTCACTGGTAAGTGTGACAAATCATATAATTTTGTTTAAAAAGTTTTTGTAGCACTACTATTTTCTTCCATCTTATTTTTGCCTTGGAAAAAATTACATTGTGTTTTTTTTTTTTTAACAAACGATAATATCTACACTAAGTGGGAAGGGTTGTGCTTAGCCTCACAACGAGTTAGCAATAATCTGGTTCAAATTCGTCCTTGACGAGAATCAAACATGAGACATGTCACCTACTAGTTAAACCTAACTAATCAAACCACAAGTTAAACCTATTTGGGATTTGGTTGTTAAAAGGTAAAAAAGTGTTCTTTGAAAGGTAAAAGTGTTTTGTGCTACTTAGTACTACGGTCTAATGATATTCTTATCACCTATAAGTGAGAGGTCTTAGATTCGATTATCGTCAAAGTGGAATTTGAACCACATTATTGCTAGCCATTATGGGGTTTAGCCCACTATCGTTTGTTAGAGAAAGATAAAAGTTATGAAGTGTAAGATTAATTTCTTACTCTTCTCATATAATTACAACTTTAACAAGATAATATCTAAAGTGTAAAATATGGTAGAATTCCACAAGAATATCCCAAGATATAATATGATTTACACGATCACATTCCTAAACTATTAGGATTGCAATAGTGAATAGATTTTTTAAATTAAAATTTAATAAATTTCAATTTAGGAGGGATATTTTTAGAATTTGAATATTTCAATTTTTTTGCCTTCTGACTATATATTAATAATTGCTAATTTGTAAATCTAACCTAGGGACTTTACTTGACTTTGATTTTCTTACAAGAAAATAGTCTTAATGCTCTTTTGAGGAAGCCCAAAAAACGTTATGGTCACGGAATGCTGAGAAGTAAGATTTCTAAAACGCAGTAAACCGATTAGAACAGAAAAATCTAACTGAATCTCATGGTAGCATTTAGCTCATTACTCTCTGACTGGTTATGTTGGGTGAAAATGTAATCCAAACTTTTTCTAAAGCTTTTCGACATGTTGCATAGATAAAACAACTCAATGAACCTATTGAAGTTAGAATTACAGAACGGAACACTGGAGGTAAAAACAACTAGCGTGAAAGAGATTGACTTTAAAACTGTTGAAACCGAAAGCTTTCCTTCCAAAAACTGAGTTATTGAGTAAAGTGAACAACTTCAGTGAATTGAAAGAGAATGTAAGTGGATGGGTTTGTGGTATATAATATTTTTCTCATGCAATGTTCATTTAGCTACATTTCCAGTATGATTTGTATTTCTTTATGTTAAAGCGTCCAAGCCATCAATCAGCACTGATTTCATGTACCCACTGGAACTACTTTCTACGAAACTATCGGTGTCAATGAAGCAATTTCTTTCAGATGCTAGTATTACTAAGAGATGAAAATATAAGAACAATAATTGGAAATTCTATGTAGTTAGATAGTCCAACCAGCCATAGTTATCATTAACGTCAATGCAGCTTACATATATTTAAGTTATTCATGTTCTTTTGTTGCTGGCAGACTCGCAGTGTTCTCTCAGTGTTTGTTCTTAGCATTATGATGTTATTTTTCTTCAGAACTGACATTGGTTTACCATATAATGTTGCAGGAACTGTTATACCTTAAGGAAGGAACACATTTAGAAGGAACCGTTAAGGAAATATTTCCATATGGAGCCCAAGTGAGGATAGGAGAAGCTGACAGGAAGTATGATGACCTTAAAACTTACCTCAAAATTGAAGACCCAACAGGAAGCTGTACACCAAGCAACTGCAGCACTCTTGTTTCTGCATGAGCCTTGCACCAGTAAACAAAAATGGAAGACCTTCAGTTCAGTTGACAGATGATGATCGTGTTGGAGAAAAGGCCTTTGTGTTCTCTGGTGGAAAAGGCAGTCACGATGGAGAAAGGTCCCATAGCAGAGCTGCCGTGTACTTTTCTCTGATGTCCACAGTGGAGAAAAATAACATAGAGAAAAATAACATGCTTTGACAAGATTTGAACCAGAGGCCAATGCTCTCAAAATCGTATTTCAATTCCCAAGTGTTAAAATCCGCAAAGTGTTTGGGGTACTAAACTCATGCAGTTGTTGGATGCCAAGTTCATCCAGATAAAGGCTCAAAATCAGCTTCGTTTCCTCACAGCTACTGACAGTAAACAATCCAACTAAAACACGAGGGACGTAAATTGTCTCTCCTTGCCGTGATTTATGAGTATGCAAATCAAATATTTGTTTGTTGGTTAATGGTTATGCTACGGATTGATTGCAATCCGATAGCACTCACAACAATTCTGCTTTCAACAAGTGCCAGTCTACCAGATGCCTCCAAAATTTAAAAGAGGAAGAGAAAGTATCTGGGCATACTCAAGATTGTTTGCATGAAATGGAGCGATCACGGTGATAGTTTAAAAGATGGAAACCCTCCTTTTAATCATCCGCTCAAAAACCAAAGGACCAAATTTGGGCCAAGAGCGAAACGGCATGCCGGAGGTACAGTGTGTCCGAGCAATCCAAAATAAAATAAAAGGGCATGGAGACAGCTTCGAACCACTTCAAATTCCGTAGAGGAGAACCATCTCAAATCACAAAGCTGGATGGAAATACGTTACGTCAAAATTAATGGGTCAAATTTCTCAAGTGGCCAAGTGGCGCGAAGTCGCATCAAAATTCAATGGCACGAAACCGCATCAAAAATTAAAGGCACAAAGCCACGTCAAAATTCAAATGGCACAAAGCCGCATCAAAATTCAAATGGCACAAAGCTACATCTAGAACTACGCCGGTTTTGATTTCGTCAAGGATACGTAGGTAGTCTAGTCTCACATTCTAGACGTAACTGAAACACCAAATCGAATCCCTAGTTCATTTAGCCAAATTCATCTAAATAAACCGAACACCAATTCCTTTTAGACCATCTCCAATGGTGACCTAAAACCTAAAAATATTTAGTCCAGAAAATTTAGGTTTTAACCCAGAAACAGCTTTTCTACTCCAACCCTTCTGGTCTAAAATTTTAGCCCCAGATTATCAAAGAATGAATTAAGGCAATAAAATATTTAAATTCTGATAAAATTTTGAAAAGTCACTAAATCAATACATGAAAATCATGATAAATCACATAAACTTAAAAATAAAAAAAGACAATTAATAAACCACATAAACTTAATACAATCGAAAACTCAGACTACATAAACTTAATGATATCCACCATCTTGACTTGGTGATGGACTTGGGTGATAGTCTTGAGATGAATCATCATCTTGAAATATACTCATTGTGGCATTCCTTTGTAAAATTTCCTTTTGCTTACCATGTAAGTATTTCTTCCTCTCTGGAGTGTATTTGTCGAGGTCCTCCAGTATCAAATTAGTTTCGTACCTTTCTTACTCCCTATCCCCTTCTTCCTTCATGGCCAAAAGTATTTGGGCCGATTCTTCTTGCCGACGGCACTGGCTTTCGTTCATTCTTGCCATTTCGCTAGCAAATTGTGCACGTATCGAATCTTGGGACTTCCCTTTTCTCTTTGCTTCCTTTTGCTTATCTCTACCCGGGGGCCTTGGAAAAGAAGAAGTTGGGCTTATTTGGTTGACACCTTCATTGTCGGCAAAATTCACACCTTCATTGACATCATTTGGGGGTGGGGCTTCATTATGAAATAATCTTCCACATTGTTGATTCGCATCGGTTCCGCACCTCAGACAACCCTTGAGGATGTTTCAAGCATGATGCAACTTAAAAGCTTGATTTTTTGGTGTAGTTCTTGTCTTGTAAATTGCCATTACTTTGTCACCCTATGCAACAAATACATAAAAACAATTAGTTGCAAAATACTATTATGTACATGACAACTAAAATATCAACAAAGAAACTCACAATTTATGAGGCGCCTCTTCCACTAGGCATGTCAACTATGCCTCTCTCCAAGCTTCCCTTCCACAAAGTGCACGCTTTGTTGATAATCTTCCACCAATCATAAACACCACCAACTTCCCTTCAACCGGCGTTGGAGTTTTCATGGAACTTATCAACGATTTTACCCCATAAAACCTTTCTATTTTGATTGGTGTTGATGGCACCATCTTCGCTAACAGAAATACATGCCAAACATAAAGCAATATCTTCGTCAAAGGTCCAATTACGAACTCTAACATGCTCTTTTGCCATCTTGAAAATTTTGGAAATGAGAAGAAATGGTAGAAAGAAAAATTGGAAGAATTGTAGAAGAAAAGTGAGTTTTGTGTGGATGTTTGAACAAATACATAGGTATTTATAAAGTTTTTGGTTGAGTTTTAAGTTAAATAATTTTTTTAAATTATTTTAGCCGTTGGATTTAAATTTGGACTGTTAGATCTTTTTTTAAAAGTTAGATTTGATTATATTCGATCTAAGCCGTTGGATTCCATAAATATATAAATATAAAACTAAAAAAAAAAAATTGAACCTGGATCGTTGGATTAACCAACGGCCCATTTAAATATGGCCATTCAATGGAAAAAAGTAGCCGTTAGGCTACTAACACCATCTGACAGCAGGGGACATGCCCACGTGGGTGGCGTCCCCGTGGGAATCCGGTTGATGCGTTGCTGCGCGTTGGGCGATTGGCTCAAACATTTAGGCTTCACAGCCCGTGTTTCACTCACAACAGGTAGGGCCCATAATGACTTCTGGCCTAAAAACGGGCTGGTATCTGGCCTTCTTTTGAGTTTTGGGTTTTAGGTTTTGTTTAGCACATGGGTTGGAGTGGGTTTTTTTTTGGGGGGGGGGAGGGGGGAAAGGGAATTTTAGGTTATAAGCCATTATTGGAGTTGGCCTTAGTGTGTCATTTACTCACTAAAAATCCCCAAACCCAAATCAAAAGAACTACGGGTGACTTGATCCCTCAAAAGGGTATGTAGGCAATCTAGGGCTGGACCTAGGTGCGGTCGCAAAATCAAATAAACACACCAATCCTCAAAGTTTATTTCTTTCATTTTAGAATCAAAGGGAATCCCTTTCTCAAAAGAAGGGTTGTAATTAATAGGCTCATAGGTCTAAAATGGGTCAAACTCAAAATAACCAAAATCTATTTGAAAAGATAAACGAGAGTGAAATTGTGTCGAGTAAATTATTTGCCCTCGTAACAATTTTTGCTCAACACTAATCGAGATGTCTTACATGCTACATAAGATAATTGAATTGATTTCTCCGGGAGACATAACGCATAAGGGCCAGGAGAAATGATCTAACAAACAACTGAAATATCTAATTGTTCAGTTATGTTTAGGTCACATGATGTTTCATGCCACAACAACATCTGTTGTTTCATAAAACATTTTTCATATGTTGATTGCTCTAAGTACATTTTGTTTGCTGATGAAGCTTTTGTGAACCATGGTCTGAGGATTTGATGTGATATAAACTAACACACAAATTAAACCTTCTTTTAGACAATTGCAGTACGCGTAAGTAGGATCGTTCTAAGCCGGGGATTAAAAGGGATGCTAATCTACACTTATTTAACTCAAAAATAGAAAACTAGACTCAAACAACTCAAAACAAACTAAGCTGACTTAAATAACACAAAACTAAGTTAAATTGACTCAAAACATGAACTAGAGAGAAATTTAGACGAAAATTAAACTAAAAAGACTCAGAATACTAATTGGGGGTTGTTTTGACGAATTTAAACTAAAACTAAGTAGTTGCAAAAACAAACTAAAGGTTGCACGAAATTGGGTGAATTAAAGGATGAAAGGCTAACTAAAGGGTCCTTCTCCATACATGACACATATGCATACAAATCGATTTCCAGTTATTATTCCTATAAACCATGAATGACAATGGCCCAAATTAATTGTGAACTGCACAAATTAACTCTCAAATTTTCCTAATTTCATTGAATTGGACTTAGCGACGCAATCAAATTATTCTTATCAAGTTCCGTATATGAATTGCATGATATAGATACATATCAAAGATCATTAAGTTCTATGAAAATCATAAGCACTAACAAGGCATTCATAATTATGAACTGCATGATACTCCTGCCATGGATTTACTTAACACGATCATGACTAGTGATTTCCACTATTTATAAATATAAGTTCATAACTATTAGGTGAAATTCCCTTATATTTTAGCTTCAGATTCATGCATGCAAACTAAGTGTGCACCCTTAATCAACATACAAGAATAAGTTATCAATCAAACAGATAAGTAAATCGCATTCATGTTTTACGAAACAATAACTGGAGGAAATCAATTCATATCACATATATGTTCATGGCTTTGAATTCACCTATAACTAAAATGAAATTAGTTCCACATCTTTGCAATTAAACAAAACCAATCTAATTTAAACATTGAACTAAATCTAAGGATAGAAAGAACCCAGAAACGCTCCAGCACTCCAATGGTCTTGGATGGCAGGTCACGGCTCAAAACTCCTTCCCTCTTTCCTTCCTTGCAAAGTTGCGGCACAAAGTTATTTTTCTGATTTTCTCTCTAAGGCTCTCTCTCTTTTGTGCGGCATAAATGTGTATATATAGGGCTAGGGTTCACGGCACCAATCCTTGGAGGACAAGGATAGGGCACGGCAGAGTTGTAGGGGGAAAAGGTTAGGGTGGTGCGGCATCAATCTAGGGCTTCTAGAAAGGGGTATTGTGACAAGTTTCTAGAAGGACAAGGGATAAGATATGTGGCACAAATCTAGGGTAGGGGATAGGGCTTCTAGAACCAAATATTCAAGTGATTAAATGTGAAATTGATTCCCCCTTGCAACTGGAATTAAGGTAGGATAAGATTAGGATAGGATAAGATAAGGTAGGTTAAGATAAGGTTTGGATAATGTTCCTTCCTTTTAGCTGATTCATTATCTTCAATGTCTTGAATTAATTCTTCCAAATGTTAAGCACAATCCTAGCCTCTTCTGCTCTTCAAAAACGTCCATCCTCCATGCATAAGCTATCCATTCCAAGCCCAAAATTGCTCTAAAATGCTCCAAATTGCCTTTTCTTGCCAACTTTGCCATTTGGACCTACAAACACACGAAAATAACTTAAATCACTATAATAAATAGAAACTAACTGAGTAAATGCAAGGAATTAGGCTAACAAAGTCGCATAAATATGCTCCTATTAGGATTCAGGTTCATGGCTTTTGTTTTATTAGGTTCTGCAAGAAAGAGAGACAAAAACATCATCGTTCTTGGAAAATAAGAAAAGATGCAAGGCTTGCAGCATTCAACTTTTCTTGGCTTACAGCATTGCAGGCCTTGAAAGTCCCAACTGATGCCGAATTCAACTTTTCTTGGCTTCCAGCATAGCTGGCCTTGAAAGTGAGCGTGGCCTCTTTTCATCAAACAGCGAGGTAGCACCATCCCTTAAGAAAATATTTGTTCCCGTCAGTTATGATTTACTCGTTTCGCCTGAGTATATTAGGCAAAAGGTGACCGCTGTGCTCGCCGATCTTAAAGTCGGAATCCCCTGAAGATGATGCTCTACCTTTTCACAAGTTAAGCAGGTATGCAAATTGGAAATGGTTCAAACCTGAAAAGCAACAAGAACTAAGGTGATGCTTAAGGTTGGCCTGTGATATTGGTAGTTCGAAAAAGCACTGTTTAACTTTGCCATTCATCTCATACGCACACATTCCTCGAGAGTGGACAAGTAAAAGGGCAAACTATGTTGTTTTGGGACTAATCTTACATTTGAAGACTGGGAAATTCAAAGTCTCATATCATTGCTCTCGCTCATGCGATCTTCATCTGTAATTGAACTCTCATCTCCAGTATGATGGTGCACTCATGTTCTAGTTACATATGCAAATTTGTTTCAGTGGGCTTGCATTTGAAAACTTAAAAACTAAGAAAAGAAGTACAGGTTTATTTTCTAAGTCACAAAAATAAGAAAGAAAAGAAGTACAGTTTTATATCTAATCACAAAAACTTAAAACTCGTTTGCTTAAGAGACATAGATCAGGGAAGTCACGGCTTGCAAGTTACAACAGTTTTGCTGCAAAAGAGCTTTTAGCTTTCAAACAACACTTTTTTCTTCACCTTCACAAGCAAATACCAAAACAGGTTTAATTCGTGATCGAATCAGTTAGGCAGAATTACAAAACAAGTAGCTACGATAGTGCAATACACCAGTAAGTTTAAATCTTACACAACAAGGAGTGACAATTGTGCAATACAACAGTTCAGAGTTTAGGTGCTTACTCAAATTACACAATCTCCACACAACCTGACAAGCATGGCCTGGTTCAACAGAGCATATACTCAATACCCAATTACCTATTAACGTAGTGTTAAAGATCCCGTGGAACTTGTAACTCAGGAATCAAGCTCACCTAGCAACATTATTGCTACAAAGCAGTTCCTTGATGGGAACGCCGTCGGAACCAGGAAAAAGCCCTGACACCCGGAGACCTTCGTATTCAATGGCTGGAAACCCAAAACATCCCACTCCCCTCACCTTAGAGAAAATTTCCTTCACCTTCCCCAAATCAGCAAACTTCGGCCCAATCCTACCTGTTTTAGAATTGAACATATCCTTCGTATGGTCCGCAAGTGAATTAATGTCAACCTCAGACTTGGCAAATACAATCCGATGAATATACGCTTTCCGAAAGACACCCAACCGATGAAAGAAGGCCAAAGTTCCCCATTTCTTAAACATAGGAGTTAACTTTAAAACAGCATCTGCTCCATCCTTTGACTCAATTGATACAAACAACAGCAACACCTTGTCCTTGTGCATCTCCAAATCTCCATACGAGTCCAGGTACACTTGTGCAACATTGGATGTGAAAGACAAACATTCCCCACTAGCAGATATACATTTAACTGAAGAAAACAAAACAAAACAAGCATCGAACAAAATCTCTATAAAACATATAAATTAACAAAAACACAAAGAATAAGCTAACTGAAAAACATAAAAAATGAAAATACCTTGAATGTCTCCACCACAAAATTTGTCCACAAGAGCACAAGACACTATTGCCCTGGCAAAGTAGTTCTTCGCAAATTGGACAAAAATGTCACCAACAGACACATTGCCATCTTTTTCAAACTCCTCGCACCTATAATAAAGCAGACGTTAAGATATTCGAATTAAAAAAAAACACACACACACACACAAATAGGTTTGATACATTAATATATAAGGATTAAAAAGGATACCTTCTGAAAAACTCAGTTTCCACCAAGTACTTCCTAGCTTGTTTAATGCTAGATCCGAGAAAATCAAATCCAGCGTTCTCAGCAAGAGTAGAAACGTCTATGGGTGCATTGTTTTCATTTTTGGCGCATACCCGGTAAATAACAGGTTTCTGCAAAAATAAAAAATAAATAAAAATAAAAATTACCAATAATAATTTGAAGGCCGAAAATAAAATCAATAAAAATTTGAATTCAAATAAAATATAAAATAACTCAAAAACAACATACCTGATCAACAAAACTACAGAAAAACGAAGCAGCATTCTGATACTTAAGCATCCAATGACGAAGCTGATTTTCAGTGAAATCGGGACGTTTATTATCAACAGCAATTTTCTTCAAGTATTGGAGGCCATTCAGAGCAACATCTTTAAAGACAGGAAAGCTTTTCAGTTTTTCACAGCGATCAAGGTAATTTTTAGTATCGATTTTCATCTCTTCGACGACCGACTTGCTTCCCGTCATGGTAAGATACAGTGTATCGTCAAGTTTCCATATCTTGTTATAGTCATCACTCGCTTCAAAAAGAAAAATTGAATTAAAATAAACACATAAAAATACAATTAACTAATACATAAACAATTAATTATACAAAAAACTTACAAATGGTCAATTCGTCTTTCTTCGTAAGACGAGATTCAGAAGCTATAAAAAAGCAGGAACCAATAATAGCAACAATGTTGCAGGTCCCAAATAGAATATCTGCAAAAAATAAATTATTTAAAATTAAAAATTAAAAATAATTGAGCCAACAGTTACAAGAAAAAAAAAATAAAGAGCAAAAATAACCTTCGCCATTCTCAGGCTCCATAGCAACACTTGAGAAATACTGCAACACTGAGCGATTAAGAGGAACAAACCAAACAAGTTATGCTGGTATTTATACGTAAGAAAGATCATTCTCTACAAATAAGAAAAATCATCACTTTCAACTTGTACAGCATACCACATAAAAGGATCATAACTCAAAAATGCTTCTCACAACCTTAATCTTCCTAACAAAAACAACCCATATTTGATTCATTCGGCAATATCTATCAAATGCGAGAAAAAATTAAACAGAATCAAGGGAATTTATAATCAAAATTATGGGTTGCTTTGCAATACAGTTGAGGAAGTCAAAATGAAAAGAATTTGGAAAGAAGAAAAGAGAGCGTTACCTGAATTGAAACAGCCGATTCTTCTGTCCAGTTCACCCGAGCATGTTTAGGGTTTATTAAATAGCGACTCTTTTTTCTTTTTTTGAAAGAAAAGCATGGCGGCGAAGCTACACAGGGGCAAGGAGGGGCGCCCGCCCCTCCGCTCGTCGGAAATAGCCACTGAAGGTGAGGATTATGCCCCTCTGCTCGCCGGAATCTGGGTTTGGTTCTGGTTGCAGCGCTGCGCTGCGCTTCTGCTGGGTTTGTAATGTTTTTTTTTTATTTTTTAAGAGAAAATTAGAATTAGATATCTCTTTTGACATGAGAAGTATAAAATGATGAAACATTTCAAAATATCAAGAATGTCCTCACTTCACACACAAAGCAGTATCTACAAAAAGCAGAATGCTCTGCATATGTGTCTATCTTAACCATAAACATTCTCAATGGTAGCCGCACAAAAGGCTACAGTGGGCTGTAGCGTAGGGAGGATTTGTAGCAATATATATACACTTTAGTGTATAATCTATATAATAGACAAAAAAATGTGTAAGAAGAATTATTTTTAATGAAACTAGCCCAGTGAGTATTTATCACAACTAAAAATATAAAAATTACTATGAAAATTATGATGTCATTTTGTTCAAGATTATTCTACTTTGAGATGGTGGGGTTTATATTAGTTTCAACCAATTTTTTTAAGATTGTCTTTACTTTTACTTTCAGTGTTTTACTTTGTGCTAGTTGTGTGGTTGTAATTGAGATATTTAGTTTTCTATCTTCTTCTTGTGTTTAAATCTAAATATATGTGAAATTTTGTGATTCATTGTAATTTTGTTAGTTTGCAATTGCGAAACTTATCAAGTTCTTGCCAAACAAATTTTAAGTTTAAACATAAAGTTTTGCATACAATAATAAGTAGCGCAAAAAAAAAAAAAAAAAAAAAAAAGAGAACCATTTGATTTTAGGGTAATTTTTTTAGCCAGCTCACCCATAAAATATTTTATTGCTCCACCCTTGAACATTATGGACCACTAGATGAAAACACCCACACTTTAAAATTCATTGTTACCCCTTAGATTGATCTTCTTATAACTATTGCATCGCACTCGAATCGTTTCACCATAAAAAATAAAATAAAAACACAAAAATAATAAATATATAAAGTGAGAAGGACAAAATGGTGAAACATTTCGAAATGCTAAGAATATCCTCACTTCATACACAAAGTTAACATATAACTGCTCATAGAAATAAAGTCAAAATAATAATATCACAACATTCATAAATATCTACAAAAAACGGAATGCTCTGCATATGTGCCTATCTTAATCATAAACATTTTGGACCACCAAATGAAAATACACACACTTTAAAATTCATTGTCACCCCTTAGATCGATCTTCTTATAACTACTGCATCGCACTTTAATATTACCAAAAAAAACACAAAAACAATATATATATATATATATAATATAAAAAAAGTAAAAAAAAAAAAAGAAAAGAAAAGAAAACCACTCTAGATGGAACTGAAATTCTCCACACTTCCACTCAGAACAGCAGTTGCCAATACTAGAAAATGAACCACCATTTCCCGCACGTTCTAAAGATCTCAAATCATCACTTAACCCCCACAATATATACAAAAAGTAAACAAACTCACTTTCGTCTTCTGCAAAAACTCATCTCCTCCGAGTGGTTTTTCGATGAATTTCATCACATATCTCCCGTCAGTTAGAATCATCTCACATTGGTACGACTTACTCTTTCTCCAAAGTGAATTTCAGTTTCGTTGGATTCTATTTAGTTGTCAAGAATCATCTCACACTGGTACAAATTATATACTAGTTTTTGGTTTAATATGTTTTGAATCTTATCCTGCAGCCTCTAGTTTTACCGGATCATTATGTTTGTGCATATCCCAACAACCTAACCACAACCCAACTTTTCTTTTCGTTTTCTATGTAGATTTTGGCTCTCTCCCATAGTACGTTGTTCTTTTCTGCCAAAAAGAATTTGACTAAGGGAGAGGGGGTAGGCTTAGCCTCACAATGAGCTAACAATAATGTGATTCAATAAATTGTTTATTAAATATTATTTTCTCTATTCTTAATGCAAATTCTATAGAGACCGATTTTATTATATGAATTCAATTGCTTTAATTAGTTTATGAGGGGTTTTTTCTAGTATGATCTAAAATTATTCATTTACTTCAAATATTTGACTTTTCTTTTGTCAATTTACACATATAAATACATTTAAAATGTATAAGTTGCGCGTAGCACGTCATAATTCAAAAAATGTCTTATGCACGCACGCCAGAGCCCCACTTTGGGGTCACGGCTTCGACAAAAAATAATAAGGCCAAAATGCCCCTCATCCAAAAAAAAAATCAAAAGCAGCAAAAAAGAATACATAAAATAATACAAGGGTAATTTTATAATTTTAACAGTGTTTTTTTAATAATTAATTTTTAAGTGCAGTTTTTTTTTTAATTTAGTACCTCACAATAGACTAGCAATAATGTGATTCAATTTCTCTATTTTTAAACATGTTCGAAACATCTTAACAGCTGTGTAATGCCGTTATAAAAAAATCTTCACGCGAATAATAATGTGATTAAATTAATTGTCTGATGATTTTTTTTTTTAACAAAAGATATTATCTACACTAAGGGGGAGGTGGTGGGCTTAGCCTCACAATGGGTTAATAATAATGTGATTCAATCAATTGTTTATTAAATATTACTTTCTCTCTTCTTAATGTAAATTCTATAGAGACCGATTTTATTATAGAATTCAGCTGCTTTAATTGGTTTATGAGGAGTTTTTTCTAGCATGATCTAAAATTATTTATTTACTTCAAATATTTGACATTCCTTTTGTCAATTTACGTATATAAATATATTTAAAACGTATAAGTCGCGTGTAGTATGTCGTGATTCAAAAAATATTACGCACATGCATGAAGGCTAGTTTATAGATTAAACATTTGTTACTTTCTAACTTTTGATCAAAATGCTTTTATATTTGATTAAACTCTATATTTCAGGTATATTTTTAACTTAAGTTTTTATTTTTAAATTCATTTTCATATAAAAAAATGCTCTCAATAATATTAATCAATTTATTGCTATTTTTATGAAATCTCATATCTTTCTCAATTTAAGGATTCAATTATGTCTAGTGGGATGAAGATTAATTGGTTGCAATATATATATATTTTTTAATTTTCAACCCATCATTTTATATAGATTATAAATAAAATAAAATAAAAAGAGTTATTTTATAATTAAAATAAGGATAACACAACGTACTAATAACCTGGTATGAACCAAATAAAAAATTGCATAACATACCCAAAGTAATATTTTATAATGTACCAAAATACTAATACATACCCAAATAAAATTTATATAATGTGCCAATCATTTGGTACATAATATTTAATATACGGGCATGTTATATCTGATAGAATCTGGATCCTCGTCGGATTCTCTTTATGAGGATTTCGGAGATTTGTGAATCGTGTTCGTTCATCGTACATCGTGATGTCAAAAATAATTTTAAATAATTTTATTTAAAATTAACCACAAATAGTACTTGACAAAAATTGACTGCATGAAATATGATGAACGAACATGATTCACGGATTATCAGAATCCTTATCAAAATGATCCGAAGAGGATCCTGTTGGTATCTCATAATTGTATATTAAAAGGATGTTTGAGTACTTTTAGAATTCAAATAAAAAAGTTATTTGAGTCAAAAAAAAAATTCTTTTCAAACGAAGTGTGATAAGATAAGATGTTTGTTGTGGTTCTAGGAGATTTGTGATATTAATGGGTAAATTAAATAAAATAAAAATTATATTTTTTTTGATTAAAAATTAGTAGAAAAATATTTGATTAAAATTTTAAAAACTGTAGATTTTTTGTTCATAAAATTCGAAATTAAGGCCCATATATCAAAAGACCCATTTTTTATTCCAAGTCTTCAGGCCAAACGACGTCTTGGGCTTGGGATTAAAATGGAAAAATAAATGAAACGGTTCGTTGGTCCTAAAAAGAAAATAACATAAACGGGGGCCATTTAGGCATTATACAATTCACCTGCAGGCTGGCAGAACAAAGGTTCTGCCATTGCGGAGCGAAAATCAACAGCAAGGGCTGCAAGAGTCTCTCTCGTGCCACTGCCGTCCAGCCATTTGAAAAACGTGTGCCATCGCCCCTCACTATTCCACTAGCCACGGTCAAGTTTTAGGTAAATCTCTTATTTTCATTTGCATAATTTAAATTAATTGATGATTTGTGTGAATTTATCTGGGTTTGGTGCTAATTATGGTTTCCAAGTTGAATTTGTTTTCTCTAGTTGGAATGAGGCATTCTCTTGTTTTGAGTAGGTTTGGATGGATTTGTATTGGGCATTCTAGTTTGAATTATCAAGTGACATTCATTCTTTTTTGTTTCAGGATTTTTATCAATCTGTTGCTTCCTTGTTGCAGCCTTGCAGGTTCTTCTCCTACGCTTCATCTTGTGCGCCATTTGTTACGCAGCAACGGCAGTTTTCAGCTCAAAAGTCGCAATACACACTTTGTTATACTTCTTTATACTAAAAATTCATTATAGTAGTCAAAACATTTATAGCCCACTTCCCGAATGCTATGACTTCGATGGTTACATAAAATGCAGATTAACATTAGCATGTTATATTGATTAAAATCCTTTGTCTATGTTAAGAGCAATATAATAAGGTAAATTACATTTTGCACCCTCAAGTTTGGGTACAATCACAACTTCTTACAACATCTTTAAAACATTTCAATTTCATACATTTGTTATTATTTCATTTCAATTCCACGCAACCGTCTCAATTTCTATTAATTTTTCCGTTATTTGCTTATGTGGATCTCACGGACCCATTATACTTGTGCCACGTTGATTAAAAATTAATAAAATAATTTTTAATTATAGAAAGTGCCCATCTCTCCTTCTGCAGCCCACCCTTTCCCTTCTCTTCTTCTCTTGTCCTCTGCCCATCCCTCACTATCCTCTGTCTTCTTCTCTAGGAGCCACTCGACTCCCTCGCTTCCCTTGACCAGCTTTACCTCTTACAATTTGCGCTGACATGGTGGTGATTTGTCTTTCTTCTTTCTCCCTTTCTACTTGCGTTACTCCCATCTCAAAGTCTCCACCTTGCTAGCATTAAGCACTAATACAGAAACTCCATTGCAAATCCAAACCAACCAAGAATGCTGGAAAATATATGAATTTCAAAGAATTGAAGCAAAGATTGAAAAGTGTTTCAAATCACAAAAATTCATTGCGACCCACCAAACTATAAGAACCCAGATCCGCAACACCCAAGGAAAACACACAACTTATGCAAGAACCCAAAAGATGGGACAAACTCAACCTATAAGACGAGACAAACTCGACTGCATTCGACCACTACAG